TCGGGGGAACAGCTGATTGCTGGAGCGACGCTGCTTGAAACTGCTGTGACATACATTTAAATGGCACACTTCATGAATCCTTTTATTGGGCAAATAAACAGAGAAAACATATGGATTCATGAATGGTTTTTGTGTTGCACGCTGTCATCCAATGAGTAGTGTGCAATATTTTAACTTAATATTGGCCAGGTTTAATTGAATAAGGTTGCACACTTTGTATTCATCATTACTTCACCACATCGACATATAACACTACAGTACGTCTCATTTCGGTATATGTGTAACTCCAACCTCCATTTAAACCAAATAACAAGTTAACTGCTGCCAGACTCTTATGTTGTCACAAAGAGACAGGGTGCTTTGCAGAGCTTAAAACTGTGAGAAATGTGTATAACCTTCCTTCCCACATTAGACTGTGTTGGCTGTGGGCTAAGGTCAGCTGCAGGAAGGGACAAGAACTGTCTGAGGGACCAGATAATGGACTACTGGGTTATTGATGAGTTGGATAAACAGAGTGGGAAAGAATGAGACAGATATAGAAAGAGAGAAGAGAAAACAAGAAAGGAAGAATGATTTGGGGCGGAAGGAAGAAAATAGACCAACAAGCAGGTTATGCATGTGTAGAATTGTTTCAGTGTGGACGGACGGGTTAGAATTTAGAACTGGAGTCAGGAGTTCTTTTGGACGTGCAGTGTGTATGTAGTGTGTTTTTCTGTCTCTCAGTATTTGTATGCTGGCAAAAATAGCCAGTGTTTTCTCTGACTCGAACAGGTGTCCAAACATCACAACACTCAGTCACACATCCACTAATCAAACACAACATGAAACTCACATCATCACACTATGAAGGCACGCACCCCTTTGAAAAATTGAGGATTAGAGGCTATGCTGTTATCTCGCAGGGAGAATTTCTCAGACTTGGGAAAGCTTGCTTCCATGCAACACAAGTTATTATACAGCGGAATTGGTGGAGTTCCCTTTGAAGGGAACGTTTGGATCTTTTGAAGAGGGGTTGTATCTGTTACTTAGCCATAGTCCGTGCATTATGGTGGCTGATATTCAGGCACGCCCCAGTTTGAAGAACCAGACAGGAGTTATTGCACAGAATCAAAGTAATAATCAGCACTGCTGCTGTTGATGATTTTGGCAACCTACTGTAAGAGAAAGCCCACCCTTCAAAATCGAAATCATTTTTAATTGTATGCTGTATTTTCACAACATACACTGCTTTACCTTGCCTTCAGACTGCCCGTTTGGAGGTGAAAATAAGCTGTTATTTGACCTCTCAGAACATTGTTGTTGCTGATTTACCCCTGCCTCGGTTAGTTAGTATGTTTGTGTTATTGTGTGACTTTGTTTTGTTGTCTTTGTATGTGTTTGTGTGCAAGTTAAACCCAACATAAATGGTGCTATGCTAGCTAGTTTCCCATTAGCTTCCAGTTTTTATGCTTAGCTAAGCTAACAACTTTGGGGCTCTTTACTAAAAAATAAGTTAATTCGTCACACTAGTGACATTAGTCTGTCTCTTGAGAGTCAACCAAGAGGAATTAATTATACTCTATCACTGTAGCTTGCATTTGAATATGGTAGCTTTATGGGTCATAATAATACAAAATGAATAATAGAAAATAGTAATAATACACAAATATATTGCACAAAAATACAGAAATGGAATAGGAACGGTGACCTGCTTTGTTTGACACACAGTGTTCCCCCGCTGTCTGCATTAAACACATGCATGCACGCCATGCATGCACAGGCAGACATACACACAGTCCCTAACCGCCCATTATCTCTACTTGACCCAGGTGTCCGGACAATTTTTTCACACAGAAAAGTAACAGGCAAATTGTGTGTGTGTGTGGTGCGCGGCGGATGTGTGTGCATGTGTGTGTGCGCATGTGTGGTGCGCGCATGTGTGCTGCGTATACTGCATAAGCAATGCGTGTGTCTGCCTGCTGAGTCTTTGTGTGCATTAAAGAACTAATTTGTCTATGGGCAAACCCGTCTCTGAGGGCTGTATTAGAAGCATTTTGCACTGTAATGGGCTGACATGTTAATCTGAAACTCTATTCTCTGTTACTAATTAAAATATCAATCCTAGTCTCTGTATTTGTGTCTGTGTGTGTATGTGTGGTAAAATGGCAACGGCGTCCCATTTTTTACGATGCAGTGATGCAGGAAGATTTTGGATATGCATTTTTAACAATGACGACATTGGAGAGAATTTAATTTTGAATCCCTCACACAGTTTGTTTGTGTGCGTGCATTCTTGTGTGTGTGTGTGTGTGTGTGTGTGTGTGTGTGTGTGTGTGTGTGTGTGTGTGTGTGTGTGTGTGTGTGTGTGTGGAGGAGAGACATAGATCTGACAGTTCTGGGTCAGACCAGTCCCATGGAGTCAGGGAACCAGAAGACATAACCAAAACTAAACTAAAATACACAAACACACACACACACACACACACACACACACACACACACACACACACACACACACACACACACACACACACATGTGCATGCTATTTACGTATGTGAAGATGACAAATGTTTTTTAGGCAAGCGGCAATAGAACATTGGTGGGATTTGGGCAAAAAAGGCTGCCTTGCCATGCCAACAGTCATACATCAGCCTACACCTTGGGAGCAGAGAGAACTGAACACACACACAGAAAAATACATCTCACATAGCCAAACACACAGACACTGCTGACTGGAGGGCTACACAGGTAAGGCGGCAGGATCAAACAGAAAGCTGTGATATTGTATTGTAGTCCAGGGCATGAACACACTAACCCTGGTCACGTGGAGCACAGCCGCAAGTCAGCCTAATTACCACTGACACATATAGCATGGTGGGGTCAGCGGAAGCATAGCCAAATGCTACAACATTGCTCTTTCCTCACACCCAAACTTGAGATAATAGATACAGTATGTTAATTTTTCCACAATTTATCCTCATCATGACAAGATGCATTCGGCACTTTCCAAAAATGCATCAGACTATCCTTATTCATCATCATTTCAGCAGACAAAACTGAAATCAATTGTGAGTAAGATTCTCTAATTTCTTAGTATTTCTCCCACTGTCCATTGCATCATCTCTCTGCTCTGTGGCTACTGTGGATATGACCACTGCTGTTTTTTGTGGATGAGTGTGAGTAGCCATTCTGAGAGAGAGAAAGAGAGACAGTTTATGCATGTGCGCGCCAGTCATAATGTCTGCATAATGTCCCTGAGGTCTCTGACTGTATAACTAATACTTGTATTATTGGTAGAATAAAACATTACGCTGAACCAAGCAGGATTATAAAACAAGCATGACAGACTCTTCCCACTCTCTCTCTCTCTCTGACACACACAAACATGTAGGCATGTGTGCAAGCAAGCAGCCCAGGGCCATGTACACCAGCAAGCGGCCATGTTTCTTTCACAAGAGGCTGCAGTGAGGCTGTCATCATCAGGATGGTTCTCTCCCTCACTCTCTCACACACACTCAGACACACCGTTCGGTGACATCATGCAATGCATTTAGACTAGAGGGTCAGAGGGTAACACAGCTTTATATGCTGAGGCTTCATTGTCGTCACGCTCGGTGACTGCGGCAGCCCTTATTCAACTCTCTTTCTCTCAAACACACACAAACATAGGCACATGACCAAGATATCTTCAGCTTCTTTCACTCACATTACCACTGACAGGCAGGTCACCGCATACAGAGGTGAGGCTGTTGCAATCCAGATAATGATAGTGGGGCCTTGCCCTCCTCTCTGACCAGCAGAGCTCTCAACAACTGACCCAGACCTCTACAGTCAGCGGCATCATTATTCCAGTTAGTAAAAAACTCCATCAACCACCTTTCTAGCTACTGCATTACCTCTCTACTGGACATTAACATCCTCCTTTCGGTTCACTGCCACTCATGAGCTTTTGAAGTCGTATGTAAGTAGCCAGTAAAACCCTTTTCATCTTTACACTTATTCTTGTGGTGATATCCCTGGACATTCAGGAGTTTTAGCGAGATTCCCCAGAAGAAGAGTAAATCCAAGCTTACTAAATAAAAAGCTGCTCTGACGTCTGCCTTTTAAATGAAATTGTCATTTTCAACCTTTTCAGGTCTAGCTCTCACAGAGGTGCATTTGATGTGTTACCATGTTTCAACACAACATCACTATTATCAAGCAGTAGTGTAATTTAATTTGCTCCAAATCAGTCAGCATCAATATCGCCATGGCCGCCACATTAACCAGCTAGACAGCCCTGAGGCAAGGTGCCCCTATTAACCGCCCACTTTATGTGCAATCTAAGTTTCTTTTATGGTGAAGCTGCGTTTAGCTTCTTTGCACCTCAAATGTGGAACAAATTGCTAAGACTTAAAACAATGCAGACTAGTATAAAATAGTTCAAATCAGATTCAACATTCCTTTTAACTAAAGTTCCTTTTAATTCATTAAAGAAGCTTTTACTATGTGTGCTTATGGTTGTTTTATTGTTTTCTTTAATCATTATATCTTGTGTCTTTGCCTGTGTAATCTGTAAAGCAATTAGAGTTGCCTCTGGGTATGAGATGTGCAGTACAAATAAATGTGGCCTTTTTCCTTGCCTTACTAGAACATTATCTGGCTCTATAAATGTACGTTGGAAACTGACTGGTAAACGTTATATGCAATAAATAAGCACAAAACTGAAATAATGAAAGACTTACAATTACATTTCAACACAGAGACCCTTGGTGCCCTTTTTAGGGCATTTTGTAACTATCCCAAATCAGTTTCAATGACATCAGCACAAGCTTTTTGGGTCATGGGGTTCAGGGGGTCTGACAGTCAGCAGCATCAGTACCAGAGGTTTCAAGATCACCACTGATCTTTCCTCTCCTGACGATAGGCCCGCACAGCATATATCGTTAATACTATGTATAGGCTACCCTTGGACACAATCGTATTCGTCTCACCCACAGCCCGACCCTTCCTCCCCTTTCAGAGGCCGAGAGCTCCTCACCTGAGGCAGCGCGGCGTTGATCTGCCGCTGGAGCACGTCCCTCTCGTGCAGCGCCCCCTGCAGCTTGGTCTGAGACTGGATGAGGGTCTCCTGAGTCTCCCTGAGGGACTCCAGCAGCTTGTCCCTCTCGTCCAGCATGTTGACCATCAGCTGCTCGAAGTTGGCCTCCTGGTCCGAGCCGTTCGGGACGCCGCCGGTGCCTCTGGGAGGACCGGCCGAGTCTCCCTCGCTGATGGTCGGCATCACCTCGCACATCATCTTCCCAGCACTGTGGTCTGGGCAACGCAATAGGACACTGTCGCTGTCTGGATTAAGAAGGGGATACACGCGGGTTACAAGCCTGATAAACAGACTTACAATAACTGATAAAAGGGCCTATTAACGCCCCGTAGCAACCGTCAGCCAATGCAACCGTAAATGCGCCTTACTCTCAGTGCATTACATCTCTCGTGCAGCAAACGTGCATCCTTAAGCTTTACATCGCCTTACCTAATCAGAGTGATTGAAATGATGAGATGATGGTTGACCTTTCATCCATATTAACCGGCGTTGTTTCCACCCCGTGAGCAGATCCGCCCTGCCCGGCGCGCCATGCACTCACATGTAGAAATCCCGGCGTGATATGATTGACAGCTCAGAGATAGACGGGTACGTTTGAAGGGGTGGTGCCCGCAACACGACGATCATAGCATATTGTCATGTAAATAAAACAATCAGGGGTAACATCCAAGAGAAAACGTGTATCTGCGTCCTTAGTCTTGGGGACAGTGAGAGCGAGAGAGAGTCTTATCTGCATCCGCCTTCTCTGCTTCCATCTCTCCACACACCGCCACCGAACCGACGCTCACTCCCCCTCCCACACACAGTTGCCCAGACACACACACACACACACACACACACACACACACACACACACACACACACACACACACACACACACACACACACTCTCACACTCTCTCTCTCACACACACACACACACACACACACACACACACGTGAATCTGCAGTTGTCACTATACCAGGCTACAGCCCTGGAAATATGGGACCAACTCCCAGCGGTTCAGCCTATAAGCATTTTGCAGTTTGCACCACATGCGCGTATACAACAGAGAGAACTGGAATAAACTCACTAATTTCACAGCATAAACCCTGCACTAGTATCATGCTTCTGCAGTTAGCACACGCTTGACCCTTAGCTGGTAAAATCAGGTAATTCACTTTTCACATCAGCACCACTAAGCGCGTTCATGCTCCTGAGACATGATGCGCGTTCTAGAGGCATCGTTTTACCAAGCCACACAGGCAGACAGTGTGCTAAAAGTGAGCAGCGCACCCTGCAGGAACTGAGACGAAGTTGAAGATTATAAATATTAACAGACATCTCTTACACTATTTGTGGCTGTGCAATCAAGTGTTAGATTGCCATCCATTCCACAACACAAAGGCCCTGAAATATAACCATACACATGTGCCAGTAACGCAGAGCCACCTTTGTGTTGTTTCACAGTTTGCAATGTTGTGCTATAGTAATGATAATTAACTAACATAAATTGCAGAACAGACATAGCTTTCTTTTCAGTGAAATGTAAAAAAGATGGTGTGGGCCATGACAATTTCTTTTTTGAGACGTTGTTTGACAATACAAGTAGGCTGGCTACCACATAGAAAACAAATCCTCAAACAACAGTGTTGTTTGTCAGTTCAAAAATATATAAGTGTGAAGGTGTGAACAATAAAAAAAGCTTCAAAGGATCATGCTGTTGAATAACATATCACATTTTTTTATAAGCATGTTGTTGCGGCAGTATGGAATAAGAAATGTTGCCCCCCACCTTTCTTCTTAGGTCAAAGTTACTGTTTTGAATTATTAAAAACAAAAGTTTGTAACATTTCGATTAAATTACAATCTTAGTGTAAAGATAAAGCAATGAATAACCTTCATGGGAAATTGATGAGCAGACTTATGACTGACAACAGTTCGGTTAGATGCTGCAGCAGAGTGTAATGTGCCATAGATAAAATACATGGCAATACTGTGAAAATGTGATGATTTACCATGCTGGGATACGTGAAGATGTTACGATTTCGTCTCTTCAAACGTGACAGACAGTTACACGGTATTGTTAACATGGCCCACCAGTGCAGAAATACGCGGATGTTGAAAAGCAAGCCTCTGTCATGACTTTTGGTTCACTATAAGTATTAGAGGACAGTAATAATGAAAAAATAACTCAATAACCTGAGTCTTCTTTGAATTTCAACAGTGCTTCCTCGAATCAATTAATTTAATTTGAGTTGCTCTAGGATGTGTGGCTTTCTGAAGTTTGGTTTTAAAGGCCTTGACAACAATGTTGTAAAAGTAATTATAGAATGCCGTGTCCTGCAGCACTAGCACACAAGACTAGGTTACTGAACATAGCACTGTGGATCTTTCAGCATTTTGACTCTTTGGTCTGATAAACATTTAAGTGATATCTACCAATGTGTAATTTCTCTGGCAAATGTTTGTTGTAAGTCTACCTGGTTCAGTGTTGTCAGGGCAGCTTTAATGGTATGAATTCAGTGCATAATGTAAACTTGTTAGAAGCAGGGTGACTTCTGTACTTGCAGTTCCATTTTGACATTGCTATTGACATGCAAACAAATATCAAACGAACCATCTCATTGGTCTGGTGTTCAGTAAAGCCAGAATACGACAAGAAACACCTTTCTGAGTTATACTTTCACATCAAACAGGCAGAACTTTCAACGATGCTTGAATTTGGCATAATTAAAAGAAACAAATGGAATTATAACATAATTGAACTTGCACATGTTGTAACTGGCTGATAAAATAATAGGACTTACCCATAGGCTTCATTTGCGCTGGGGACGCTGGGGACATGTCCCCACCACTTTTTGGAATGGCCATTTTTGTCACCACCACTATAAGTATAACTTATACATGTTATGAAAAAAGAGTGCACAAAGAAATGTAATAAACAATAACACTGGTTTAGTGTCAAGATGTGCAATTTGGAAATGTTAGTAAACTTTTAATAGAAAATGTAAAAACGTAGGCCTACTTTGCTCCCGCTTTGCAGCAGCAGGGCGCAGGCACTGCACTTAAAAAAAAGTAAACAAAAAATAATTCCTCCTATAGCCTACTGACTCTAAAATGACCCAAAAACATGCTAAAGGCAATGTTGTTTGGCCTGTTTCCCTGAAGTAAAGTGGTCTGTTTGGTTTCTTTTCTTTTCAGAGAGTAGAATGTGTATAGTTTAAATGTTAAAGTTCCCATGTCATGGCCATTTCTACTGATCATAATTCCATTGTTGAGGTATACTAAAATAGATTTAAATTGTGCAATTTTCTAAAATCGCATTGGTTTCTCATACAGCATCTCTGTATAGTATGTGTATTCACCAGGTATTCACTCTCTGTCCTAAACGGCTTGTTGGAGCTCCTGCCCCCCCTCCCTATGAGCCCGGTGGCCGTCTGCGAGACAGAAAGACACAGCGAAACCCAGCCCGAACACACACCCGCAGCCTGGCTGGGAGTTTGTGTGTGTGCTCACACACCGACTCACAGCCTCGCCGCGTCCCGCCGACTCAGGGAGGAGAAATTGGCGGAGCTGCAGCTGAGAAAAGATTGAGTGTGTGTGTGTGAGGAAGTCCGCGGATTAGTCAATTTGGACCAATTCACAGACTTAACGTAACGGTTCCGCGGACGTAACGGCTCCACGGATTGGTCCATTTGGACCAATGGGTCCATTTAGGTATGGGCACATCACTGTACCCAGGAAGAAAAAGAGAAATCTCCAACGAGGCGTTCTGGGGCGGCATAGAAAGGTATTTTCTGTGTTAGAGTTTTACTCGCTACAGGGTGTACTTTGAGGGTTTGTGACTTTGCAGACCGTTTACATGCATAAAAACCTTCATAACACACAAGGGGACGGGTAATAACCAGAAAAGCATGTTGCATCTTCTGGGGCAGGATCCCCCCAGATCCCCTTGCAGGGGTTCGGTTTGCAAACATCGTTCTCAGAACATGTGAGTGTTCATTTGTCTCCCTGGAGAACACTGTGCAGTAGA